ATCTGTGTACTGGTGATATGGCTGGAATAGTGGAGAATGTATGAATAGAATTTTCCCATGAAAAATAAGAGCACTCAGAATACTTATAAAGTACCTAAAAGACAATAAACACTACTGCCATGTTCCTTATATGAAATTTTTTTTGATGGCAGCAGGCAAGAATGTAGAAGGAAACATCATTACTAAAAGGGTTGAATCTGGAATTGCTAGTAGTCATTTCAAACATGGAACGTAAAAGCAAGCTCCAGTTTTTCACTAAAACTTAAGAATGTTTTGGTGGTGTTAAGGCCTTCAGTGTGGTGGTGTTAGGGTCTTCAGTATGGCTTTTCCAGCTGTTGGAGCTGGAAGTCCCCAGAATGATACATTCTTGTAAGCAGAATTAACAAGTCAAGGTCACACACATTAAAATTTTAATGCTTTCTATAATTTGTTTCCCAAAACTTCTTATGCTGATTCACACATTATACATGGAGAGAGGCAGAACCTGTTTCCTCACACCATTTTATATTGTCTTTTTAATTAGTGGCTTCCTGGTGGGTGGAAAGTGAACCTCATTTATTGCTTTGATTTGTACATTGCTAATAACTATTATAGGTCATTATAATTACTCATATTTATTGAATATTTGTATTTCATATCTGATACAAATGCTTTTAAATCTGCCTTTTCCTATCAATTAGTAGGTAGTAACTAAAAACTGGGTATGAATTGTTTCTTTTTTCAGTGTGTTGCAAATAATTTTTCCTGGGTAGCTTGTCTTTTTTTATTTTTTTTCATGGTGTCTTTGATCCACATTTTCTCCCAAATTTGAATATTCTGATGGCACTTAATGTCTCAGCTTTTCTTTTGCAGTTTGTAGGATATAGCGATGACTAAGAATTCTCTGCCATTGGCTCTTTATCCAGAAATTTAAATGTTAGGCATTTGGCCATTTTTAACTGGTGTCATGTGTTCTCTCTGTTCAGATTAGTGCTTTTTGTTGCTTTAGCTTTCCACTTGCACAGAATTGCACAATGATCCATAGCTGCTGCAAATTATGAGAAACATCTTCATGGTGGTCCTACATGGTTCCATTCTTTTATAAGAATTCTTTTAATGCTTCTATTTATTTCTAATATTTTGTTGACTAGTTTAGGAGTTACTTTTGTAAATTTAACCTTTGCTTTCATACAAGGGAAGAATGAAGTTAAATAGCATTTTGGCTCATGCCATAGGATGTAGGTTTCATGGAGACCAGCTTCAGGAGAATGTGGTAGAAGCATATGTTAGACCACAGGGTTAGAACCTGCCCCAGAGGCTACCCCAGAAATTTCCTTAGCACTTCCTCAAATCTATTAGCATATAAGTGACCCCATGGTGGTCTCTGTGATACATGGTATACCCCTGACTCGCTACCAGGGATACGTGCCAGTTCCATCCCAGTGGCATCCCTGACCAGAATGCTAGCCATGTTTGTAGATCGGTCTTGATAGGTTACAAGCAACATGGATCTAGTCCTCTGGTGAGTGTGTCATTGAAGAATTCTGGATTTTGAGACTCTAATCTAGTACTATGCTAGCATTTCTGTATTGTTGAGAAAAATTGGGGAAGGGTCGAATGGTCTTTATTGTTTCATGATCCCTGGTGTTTTAGTTTTGATTGTCAATCTGAGTATATGAATACAGATTATATAATGGATACCTGGGAAGTGGTTCTAGAGACTCTCCTGATACTGAAGTTCGCTCACTCTACCCAGTTTCCTCCATCTAATGAGGTCATAGTGAATAAATCTGTAGGACTAAATTACCACCCTCCCTAACTCCCTGTCTCTCCACAATAGATAGATAGAGATGGAGAGAGAGAGAGAGAGAGAGAGAGAGAGAGAGAGAGAGAGAGAGAGAGATCGGGTAGTAGCATCTTAAGAGTCTGAAAATAGGGATCTGGACTAATAGTTATCTTGAAATTATTCCCATATCTAAGACTTTTAACCTTGCACATACTTAATTGGGATTCAGCTCAAATCACACTTAATCTCCATTATTGTCACTATTTTATATGATGCCAAAACATTAATAGGAAGCATTGGCAACTGGATTATTTTAGCAGAAAAACTCTGCTCTGCTTTTTAGCTGTTAGAAATGATAAAGGACATTATGACAGCTGACACAAAGAAAGCTGAGAGGAGCCACTCTTCAGGTGGGGAATTACATCATCGTGGTTCAAAGTGGGAAAGCAAACCTTCAGGTCCCAGAAAGAGCTTCATTTGAGAAGACAGTTCAACGTAGGTCCTGAAGGGGGTCCTCTTCCAGTCCCTTGAATGCCTAGTACTACACAGCACTATTGCCATAGGCAGCCATGAGGAGGCCCTGAAGGAAGAAACAGACCCTTCAATTCCACAACACAAAGGGAATTTCTCCATCTTTTGGGTTTCTAAGAGTGGGAGGGAAGATTCCACCATGTGATCTAGCCTGACCTAGCCAACATGCCAGGAGTCACAGGCTGGAGGGTACTAGATAAAAATAAAGTCACAATTCAAGGTTAACTTGAGTTTGCTCACAGTTGCAATGGACAATGAGAAGGGAGACTGCCAGGCCATAGTAAACTTTGCTGATCAGTCCTCTGGAAAGAGGAAGGGAGGGAGAGAGATGGGAGGGGAAACTGTGGCGTATGTGGCTTGAGTTTTAGGGGAAAGAGGACAGCTTGGCAACTAGAGGATCTGTGATCTAACATTCTAGCATAACCTGAGGCACGTCTGTCTTGGGCTGGACAGTAGAACTGTGCTTGCCTGCAGCAGCAGAGATGGGAGAAGGACCCTTGCTATTGCCATTGCTACTTGTATCTATAGTGGAACTGGCACCAGAGCTTCAGGGATATATGACTATAGATCTCTCCCAGGCTGCCACGTCTCCTAAAGTGGCCTCATTTTCAAGCAACATGTTCATGGTCTAACAGCTAGCATTGATATTGGTAATCATCTCAAGTGAAGCTAGGGGACCTTATACTCACAGAATCTATCCATTTCATTTTGAGATAAGAATTCTGGACAACTTCCATGGGAGCATCTCTTCAAGAGCTGTTCTCTGCTCTCTTTATCAACATCACTCTTGCTATGGTTGGATATGGTCTGAGTATGGCCCACAAGCATTCATTCGTTAAAAGACCAGTCGCCAATGTGATCACTGAGAGCTAATTAGACCATATGAGGTGAGCCTAGAAAAAAGGGATTATGTCATAGCAGGTCCCAACCTCAGAGGAGATTAACATAGTTAATATAATATTTTATTATATTAACATAGTGCTATGTTAATTTAACATAGATTAACTTAGTTCTTGAGGGACCCCAATTAGTTCGCCCGAGAAAAAGTTGTTAGGAAAGTCAGATCAACTCCTCCCTCCTATTTGGCTTCCTTTCTCACATGTTTTCACTCTCACTGCTGCTTTGTTCTTTCTCTGCCCGTCATCTCCCCAGCCTGAAATGTTTTTATAGCACCAGAAAACACATCAACACACTCCCATTTCCTCTAATTTCTCTGTCCTTTGAGAGCCACACTAAAGTCTAAACCAGTGACTCAAGGAAACAGAGTTCATGGCAAACTTGGGGAAGGTCTATAGGTCCCAAGATCCTTCATTTGAGCTCCTGTGTGTGTGTGTTTTTTTCATAACCACAATTGCTACTATCTACAATACCATAGTTCCTTTTATTCTTTAGCCTCCCTGAGCCTTTCTGTAGAGGTGAACCCATTTTCTTGTTTTTGGTTCTCTCCATTTAAAATCCTAGAACAGGTTCTGTTTTCCAGATAGGGTTCTGACTGAAACAAAACACTATGGGATTTGGATGGCAGATGGTACCTTTTCAATGTTTTGTGATGAACATCCCAAGGAAGAGGAAATTTTGACTGAGAAATGACAGGAACCAAACCTGATTTTGGATACGAGTGATTCTCAGTTCATTTTTACTTTTCTCCAAAGGTAACATAGAGTAATTCTTCCAAGGCCAGAAAGAGATCCATGTGGGAAGTAAGAGAGTTTGACTAGGGAGACTATTGGGATCCTGGAGCAGAATTTTGGAGGTGCAGTTTCCAGGTTCCAATCCCATCATTTGTATACCTTGAATTTGTCATCTAACCCCAGCTCACAGGTCAGGTCAGCTGACCTCTGGGAAAACCCCATAGTCACTTTGTTTTGAGAAATCTAAGGTTTGCCATGAACTCTGTTTCCTGGTGGCTGACCTGTAGGGCTGGGCTCCTAACATTTCTAGAGGAACTCAGACAAGTCAGACTCATGATGATTCTGAGATTTCTTCACTGTGCCTCCCAAGAGCAAAGTTCTGGCAGGAGGAACTAGTATTTTCCACATGGTACATTTGCCACACCCCACAAAAGAGGCTGGAGCCTCCTGCACCCACCTAGATAAATAGCCCAGATTGTGTCAAAGCCCATCACCACACCTGGGAGCTTCCCCTGCTGTGATTTGGTCTCCCTGACTTTCTATAAAGACTCTTCCGGCTAGGTATAGCCCATTCCTACAAAACCCTCTGACTCTGAGCTTTCTGTACTTTAGGGTTCAGTGAATAGCAAAAGCCATGTTGCCATAACTCTGGGCCCTGCCCTGTGTGTGAACCTCTGTCTTTCACTTATGAATTGCTGGGATTCTAGCCAAACTGCCCAACATGAAGACCTGCCTTGCCTTAGGCAGAAAGAGATGACAGTGGAGGGGAAGGGCCTCTGGAAAAGGATGTACAAGGAATTGGATGCTGGGGGAATATTTAAGGCTGAATGTTAGTTATGGCCTTGAAACAAGTAGGGGGGTAATCTTATTGAAATTTCTATATAGAGGAAAATTCTGCCTGCTCTTCTGTCTCCTGTGCCTTGAGGTATGGTCCCAGGAGATAGCTTAACTCTTCTGACTGGTTATGCATTTCTGCTCTGTCCTGAATCTTGGAAAATCTTGGAAATGACTTGGAAATGAGTTTTATCTTTCTTCCTGATGTCTCCTCCCTCAGGTACCAGGACAAGCCTACTATGGAAATTGGAGGTAATATTAGGATGGGACACTGGAGAACTGAGCCATTTATATCTTTAGCTATGTCCTCTGGACACCCAAGATTTGAATACCTACCCCTTAGGCATGGCTCTTGGGACACAGCAATATTCCCATATGCCACTAGCCTTCATTTTTCTGGAGTATGGAGACCACTACTTATCTACTGCTCTAGCTGGTTCCCAGCATCAGGCCAAGCACAGAGCATGCACAAACAAAAACAGCTGGGTCTCAACACATAGGAACTGTGGAACTGCTTGTCACTTTGCCTTGACAGTTTGTCCTCTTAGAACAGTAGTCACCCTTGGCAGCCTTTGCTTACTTACCACTGACTTGCTGCAAAGAAAGTCTGGATTGATGTGTTACAAGAAGGCTGCCAGTTTGAAGATGTGAACTCCTGGATATAACAAACCTTCATTAAAGAAAGGTCATCTGGCTCTAGGTCATCTTTCTCCTATTCTGACACTTAATCTTCATGTCTGTCATTTGTTTTCATTCAAACAGCAAGAAATACCCCTCAGTCTGGGGAGATTTCTGACTTGGACCAGCAGGTGTGGATCCTTCGTGGTCAAAGCCTTGTGACAGTTCCACGGAGTAGCAATATAACCCCAGGTCAGTGGTTATCTGTCACTGCTTTGCTCCTCACACTACACAGACTTTTGTTAAAGAACGTATCATACCTGTTGTGCTGCAGGACGGCCACAGTTAACAGTAGTTAGAAGAGAGCTTCTTGAGTGTTTGGCCACAAATAAATGTTAAATATGTGAGGTAAATGATATCCTGACTCCTCTGGTTTCCTCATTGTTGTATGGCACAGATTTATTAAATCAATACTTTGTACCTCCAAAATATGTTTAGTTATGTGTCAAAATCAAGCTTAACTTTCCATGGGGGCCACCTGAAAGAGGCAGAATTTTACACCTGCCTAGGAAGAGAAGTCAGGGAAAGGTTTGTCCCAGACTAGGGTGAAGCAGTCTCAGGGGTAGACGAGCCTTCCTAGGCTTAAGGGACTTGAGCTCATTGATCCGAAGCAGCGGATCTGTCCTATGGAAGGGGAAGATGTGTGCTTATATGACGTCAAGGCATCCTAAAAGGGTTAAATGAGTGAATAACACAAAGAGGTAAATTTCAGCATCCCATTAGGCAAACTTTGCTAATGGTCACAGCTCCCCAACGATCAGAGAAATGGCTTACGGTAGGAGCTTTGACTTCCAGGTGTTTAAGCATAGGTGTGAAAATCTAAATCCTATCAAATCTGCTTAACTCTGTGCCCCAATAGCTAGGACCCTGCTTGTCTGTCAGAATGGATGGATGAGTGGGCAGATAGCTACTTGGTTAGTCTGGGTAGCAGGGGTTCAAGTGTCTTCTGGCCTCTCTTGGCAAATGTTGCTCTGCTACACCAGAACAATTAGAGCAGTCTGTCTTCTGGGCTCAGAAAGAAATTGTTGTCTTCCTATCATTATAGTCACCATCGCTGTCCTTCCATGCAAGTATCCAGAGTCTCTTGAGCAGGACAAAGGGATTCCCATTTACATGGGAATCCAGAATCCAGACAAGTGCATGCTCTGTGAGGAAGTTGATGGACAGCCCACTTTGCAGCTCAAGGTCAGTGATCCTGAAAGATAACATGAAGATAAAAAGCCTATGTTTCTTTTCTTATTCTTTTCATTTTTAAGTTAGCACATAGAGAATTAGATTGCATGTGACATTTTTTTTTTCAGAAAAGCACATTTTAGTAGATTCTCAACACTCCAGCTCCTTCCTTTCCCCTCACATCTGACTTTCCACCAGGCTCCTTTCTACTTCATGTCACACAGCTCCTTTGTCCTTCCCACACCTCATTGCCACTCCCCCCTCTTGGTTTCCTTTCTGGTCTTTAAGAAAAGCCCGTGGTTTATTTGGCAGTAGATCAAGTTTTAGAATTAATAAAGAATTCTATTTTCCTAAGCATGTTTATTTTTAGCCTTTTAAAATACGGGCATGTCTTGCAGCAGATTACCTTAACTAAGTCAATTGATGTGGGAAGACCAAGCCCACTGTGGACAGTACATTCCCCAAGCAGGGAGGGTCCTGAACTGGAGATGAATGGAGATACCTTGCCAAGAACAAACGAGCAAGTAGGCATGATCTTGGATGTGATGTGACTAGGTGCCTCAAGGCCCTGCCTTGACTTACCAGAAGTGATAGACACTAGCTTGGTATTATAAGCCAAACAAACTCGTTCTCCCCTGGAGTAACATAAAAAATAGACATTAATTTATCTTGCCCTTCTTTACCTGAGGATTTTGGTCTTTCTTAAGTTTTTAAGATGTCCTCAGTCATTGTGGCTTTGTCCTCTCCCTAATTCTCTTGTATTTCCCATTTTAGAATTCCTAGTCACCAGTCAGAGACCTCACCTTGGTATTTTATACTGTCTTATGTAATCGCCGTGCTTTCTGTCCTTCCACTGTTTATGTATTTCTACATCAACCTTGGATTCTGAGAGAATTTCTCAGTCAGGTTATAATTATGTTCTTGTCTTACCTGCTAAATGACCCTTCCTTAACCTCTTCTCAAAGGTTCATCTTTGCTATTCCAATTCCTAAGCTCTCAATGTGGCTGTATATGTTATATACACACATAGAAATGTATATACATAAATATAATTTCATATATATACATATATATACATATCTACATATGTATATAGAGAGATATATTCTTGCTTCATGAATCCATGAACTTCGCTTTATTTAGGTTAATTCAACTCGACCCAATTTAACTCAGCAAAATGTGCAGGAACTTAATTGCCCCATATGAGTACATGGGATATCTTTGAACAGAATGGCAAAGAGCTCCGGGCTTGTATAGCCTGGATCCTAGAAGGAGGAGAGTCATGCAAATGATAAATACAATAGTAAATTTGTGATATGCCAAAAAGCATTACATGTTTTAGAGAAAACAAAGCAAACCAAAACAAGTTCAGCAAAAAAAAAAAAAAAAAAAAAAAAAAAATCAGATCAGGGCAGAGCCTGGGAGTAGCAGAAACAGGAGTGGAGTCAGGCTTGGTTGTAAATTGTGCAGTAGGTATCATTGTGCAGATGGAATTCTAGGAGAGTTCAGGAGGCAGGATGTGAGTCAGCAGTGAGGATGAGTCACCGGGCCCGTGAAAGCAGGTGTGTAGCAATGGACCAAAACCAGACCTCTGCCAGGGCTTAGCCACCCCATCCAGGTGAAAGGAGAAATCTGAGATCACTATGACTCCAGGTTGATCAGAAATTTCAGGGGACAAGTGTGGAAGGCCTCAGGAGGCTTTATGGAGAGCAGGTGTGAGCTGATGGCTCAGGGGTGGCAGTGCCATGGGCGGGGAGATTCTAAAAAGAGTTTAAGTGTTATCAACAAGGTTTTCGACAGAGTAAATGTGACTACATTCTACTCTCTGTCCTGTCTTTGCTAAATCACTCTTCTTTTGGACTTTTGGCTTCAGAAATTGGTCATTGGTAATATATGGATTTTAGGGGATCTTAATGAGAGAGTGTTGGAGGTAAAATCTTGCTTACATGGAGTGAGTTTAAAGAGATAAATCAGACAGCAAACATAGGCAGCTTTTGAAAAGGGTTTTCTGTAAAGCAAGAACTGACAAAGGTGTGGGATCATTAAAATACAGTTATGTGACACATGACAATGTTTTGGCCAACAATGGACTTCATATACAGTGGTCTCCTAAGACCATGTCATCCAGTGACATTGTCACTGCTTTGGACTGTGTAACCACATTTGCAGTGTTGACACAAAAGTAAAATCACCAATGACTACTTTCGTAGAATGTGTCTGTCATTTAGTGACATGCCTATGTTTTTTGTTTGTTTGTTTGTTTTTTGGTTTTTTGAGACAGGGTTTCTCTGTGTAGCTTTGGAGCCTATCCTGGCACTCGCTCTGGAGGCCAGGCTGGCCTCGAACTCACAGAGATCTGCCTGCCTCTACCTCCCAAGCGCTGGGATTAAAGGTGTGTGCCACCAACGCCCCGCTACGCCTATGTTTTTCAAAATGAAAACAAATAAAGCACAAATGAGCGCCGGATGAGTGAGCGGGAAGGATGGCTAGAAGAATGTCCGTGGATAAGCGAGTGGAGACAAGCCACTGTCTAGTCCTTCGGGGGAAAAAAAGCCACTGTCTAGTCCTTCTCGGGTAGGGAGACACAGGTAGGGGTGAGATGTGCCTGGCAGTGAGTAGTTTGGAGACATCCTCATCCAGGCACCTCAGCTTCCTCAGGGAGTTGGAAACTGAGGATGTAGATGATGACAGAGGTGTGGGAGCTCAAAATAAGAGGGCAGATATTTATTGTTTGAAACGTCAGCAAATCTAGGCTGAGCTAATGTCGGGACAGTAGTGAGAAAGTCTGATAAGTAGTTGTGGTTAGTGAATAGAAATGCTAAGTGCAGAGGGTGCTTACTAGTGAAGGAAAAAGCCAAGACAGAGATTGAGATAGGCAGGGAGATTTGATGCCTGCCTCCTGCCTGCCTTTCCTTTCTTTCCCTTGCCTTCCTTTTCCTGGATTTTCTACTTCTTTTCTTTCTTTTCCTTTTATTTTTTGGGGCGTGTTGTTAGTAGAGACTGAACCCATGGCCTTGCACTTGCTAGCCATGCTCTACCACTGAGCTTAATTTGTAACCCCAGAAATGTCCTTTTCTTGTCCTGTTGTAAGAGAGGCTTCCTTGAAATTGGGAATACTTATTGGTTGTATAAAAATAGCTTTGCCTATCAGAAGCAGCATCTATTTTTGCTCACAAGTATTCTCTCTCACATGTAGGAGGAGAATATTTTGGATTTGTACAACCACCCTGAGCCCAAGAGGCCCTTCCTGTTTTACCACACCCAGACTGGTAGAACGTCTACCTTTGAGTCGGTGGCTTTCCCTGGCAGCTTCATCGCCTCCTCCAAGAATGGCCAGCCCATCTTCCTCACGTCGGAACAGGGGAAATACTATAACATTAACTTCAATTTACAAATAGGGCCTTGAACTCAGCATATTGGTAGAGGGTTGGTTAGAAGTCTTTGTCTTAAAATTTTTGTTTGATCTGTGGGGTTTTCATACTGAGAGGTGAGCAACACCAACATTATCTCTTTTCATAGATGAATGGGCAATAAAGCAAAATGTGTGCTCCAAAGTAGGTGGGATGGGAGTGGTATAAGGCTGTCCTCTAAGGCTGTAATGGTCCAGGCCACGTGGCATCATGCCTGAGAAACAGGATGCTGTGCCACAGTGTGTAAAACCTGGCACGCCCTGTGAGTGGTGACATCTTTGTTTCACAGCCATTGGCTTAACTCATACCAGGTTTTATACACTTGTAGTATCAAATCATTGCATTTGGATAGCAGAGGCTTCACGATAACATTCACCGCAATAGCAAATTGTGTTGATGCTTTAGCAGCTGACTGTTGTATGGAGTTGGATACACCAGGAAAGGACTTAGGTTTTAACAGTTTAAATGAACAGTTTTAAGAGTGACTAGAGCTGTGCAAACTATGTTGGAGTACAGTGACTTCTCCTTCAAGAGTAAGGATGCTTTCTGGTGACTTGATCTAGAATAGCTAGATCAATTAACTCAGCTTGAGCAACCTTTTCCTGAATCATCCCAGTAGAGATGAACACTGAGAACAATGTGTATTAGTCAGAGTGCACACCAATAAAACATTAGCTTTTATTTTATTTTAGACTTCCATAAATGTTTTAATATTCTTTCCATTATAACGAACATCTGTAGTTTAAAGCACTAGTATCTCACCATAGTCCTGTCTCTCCAAGGCACTTCCTCTTTTTCAGTTCTTTTTCCTCCTGTAGCTCATTTCCATGCACCCAGACACATATGGGAGTAGGTGCTGAGTCATGCAGAGTGGTACCTACCCACAGTGAGACTAGGAAAGCCTGAAACACAGTAGCCCAGAATGACCTTTTTGCTTGCTTTTAGGACTTGGGTAATTTATTTTATTATTTTTAAGTGTGTGTGTGTGTGTGTGTGTGTGTGTGTGTGTGTGTGTGTGATACTTGTGGAAGCCAGATGAGGCCATTGAATTCCCTGGAGCTGGGCATTACGGGAGGTCATGAGCTCCCTGACACAAATACTGTGAACCTAACTCAGGTCCTCTGCAAGAACTCTACATGCTCTCAGCCACTGATCCATCTCCTCAGTCCAAAGATAAATCTTTAAATGGCATCATTTCCTCCTGCCCTTTTATTTTATGAAGGAGGGCAGAAAGGCACGTGGAGTGAACAAAATATGCAGAGGACGGTGCTGACATTGGCTACTATAACTGGAAATAACGACACCCTTGATTTGAGGACTTTAAATTTCTGTCTGCTGGAGTTGAGTCATTATGAAACACAGTGTAAGAAATTAATAGAAATGACCCTGAGCAAGACTGAAATGATCCACGTGAGACAGTCAATGACAATCATGCTGATTAAGCCAATTAAAAGTTTTGAGTTCTTTATTAATGGCCAGACCAAGAGTGGACTCACATCTCTGGTTCTCAAACCAGAGAGTCTCTTGGTTTCCAAACTCAAGGGGACAGAGTTTTAAAAAATAAAACCATAATTAAGTCAGTGTTAAGAGGGAGGTGCTACATTAGTGGGGGATTGGGAGTTGCCTAGTAACATCTGCTTTCTTTCCAAGGCTCAGCAGTATCTTCCAGACACTGCACAGTATGTTTGGGCCATGGTTAAGGTCATGGACTGTCCCAGAAGTATTGCCAAGGTGAATGAGGCTATTGAGAGTGGAAGGCTGAGAAGTGACCAAGCAGGCACAAAATAATGTTGGAATAAGATGGTGTTACCTTAGTCATTTCATGATGGCACAGTGTATGCTACAAATCTTTTCCTGGGGAGACACGACATATGTGTCTACTCACCCCAGAGAAGGATTCCATGACAGACAAATTACAAGTACCACCCAAGTTCAACTTGGTAAATCAATGAATTTTATTGGGGTTACTTACACGAGTGTGGGGAAAAGGTTACTTACAGGAGCAGAAATGACTCAAAGGCGGATGCATCACCAAAACCCACGCCAGTATGAGGGACAGTTCACACAAGCTGCGAACCTGGAGCACACTGAACAGGTTGAAGAGCGTCCTTTCCAGGTGACTCAGTTGGTCTAAACCTCTTCCAGCCAGCTCGCTGGTTTCTGCTCCTTCAGGCAGGTGGTCTCAGTCTTGTTTGCAGTTTAGCTCCTCTGAGGAGAACTCTCAGCTTATACTGTTGACTCAGACAGAGAGGAGCCTAGTGAATCTCATCAGTTTCAGGGAGTTCTAAAGCTATTCGTAGTTGTTTACTTTCCGGCTTAAGGAGCTTGCCTGGAGGATAGAATGTTTCAATCTTAGAAGAAACTGTTACATAACATATGGCAAACTAGGACAACCTCACTCCCATCCTTGAGGCTGGCCTTATCTTGCAGGGTATCCGCAGATGACTCACCGAAACTCAGTACCTCTGGCCATCCAATATGATTATATAATGACACAAGGATTGAAATGTACTTATTTCATTGCATTTCTCAAACTTGAAACAACATCAGAATTACCAGGGGCATGTGCAAAACCTTCAGAAACCCCACACCTAGTAAATTAAAACTTTCTAGACATTGCAACATGTTCCCTAGGGATTGCTGATTGACTAATATTTCCCTAGATCTTCTCAGTGTAATTTTCTATATAGATATACCCAAATTAATCACAGTTATAACTGTATTGTGCTTCTGTGGAAATCAAGTTATCTTAAAATGTGTGGGGTTTTTTGCTGATTTGATTTTTTCTTCTCTGAGGCCTTTGCCTCTTAAGTGATTTAGAAGTGAGCTGTGCAAAATGCCTTGTATAAAAATGTTCAAGCCCTGGAATCAAATTCCATAATATTTTAAGCATAAAAAAACCCATATTTCTATCAACCAGTGATACACACAATGCATTCAATACTACCCTCCGTAAAAGGAAACTACTGATATTCAGCTAGAGGGATGCCATGAATGCCCTGAGGATGGCGGGCACATGATAGATGTAATGTTTGGGTTCCTTTATAAGAAGTTCAAAAACAGGTTAAACTAATTTTGATGATAGGAATCAGAGCATCAGTGTTTTGGAGAAAGGGGAGACAGTAGGAATTTCTAAAAATGGCTGGAGAATTGAAACTAGACCCATTCAAAGGATGGAAGAACCAAAATAGCTTTTTACTACTCACTGCAACAAAGTGCACCAGAGGCCACTGGAGTAACACTTTGTAGAGGAAAATTATTTCCATGGTAGAAGCCCTTGTCCACATACTTTATTAGTTAAGAATAAAAGAAGAATAAGCACATTCAAAGAAGTTTATTTTCAGAGATGGAAAAACAGCACAGTGGGTAAAAATGCTTGCTGTCCAAGCCTGATCACCCAAGTTCCATCTCTGGAACTCTAAGTGGGACAATGGAAGCAAAGACTGATTCACAAAAGTTGTTCTTTGACCTTCACACATATACCACAACACACAACACACACACACACACACACACACACACACACACACACCCGATGTACAATAAATAAATTTTAAAGTTTAAAAATTATTTGTTTCCATATGTTTTGCTTTAAAAATGGCTAAAGAATGGGTCTGCCCAAACAAGAGAAAACACGTGGCCTCCTTAAAGTAGTGCCTTTCTTCACCAGAGAACAGGAAGGAGAACCTGCCTGATAATGTAAAAGAACACCCCAGAAGATAGCCAGGCAGAGTGAAGCTATTATAGGCTCATTAGAAATGCTAGCCATGTAGACAGTGAGCTCAGTATGTTTAAATAAATTAGAGAGATTTGGAGATTTGATGGTGGAGAAAATTGTGGAAGAATAATGAACTCTATAGAAAAATAACCAAAAATTCTACATGGTGGTACATGCCTGTAATCTTAGCACTCAGAGAGTTGAGGCAAGAGGATAAGGAGCATGAGGCCAGGCTTGAGTGATAAAAAGAGAATGTGAAGGAAAAAAGGAGGAAGAGAGAGAGAAAGACAGAAAGACAGACAGACAGACAGACAGACAGACAGACACAGAAGCAGAGAAACAGAGAGGCTAAAGAAGGCCTAGGCAGCACACTAGAGCTGACCCTGATGTTGGGGATGCAAGTGACCCAGCCCTGAGGGCGTAAGAGCAACAGACCCTGCCCCCCTCCTGTCTGCCGTGCTGTGGTAGTGATGAGGAAAGATGGTCTCCCCCCCTCCACCCCTTGCTACCTGTGTCAGGCAAGAGAGTTAGCACTGGGGTCACAAAAGTGAGAGAGCTAGCCCTGCCCCTCACCAGCTGCAGCACACAGAACAGGCCCTGCGCCCTACCTGGGCAGCACACTAGAGCTGATCCTGTTGTTGAGGGCTCAGGTGAGCCAGCTCTGAGGTCATGAGAGCAGGAGAGCTGACCCCACCCCAACCACTTGCATGTCTACAACAGCAATCGAAAGAGAGAACTCTAACCTTGCCTGGGAAAAATAGTAGAGCTAGCCCTAGTGATGTAAATGTGGGTGACCTGGATCTTAGGACCTGAGAGCAGAACTGGCCCTGCACCTTGCTGCAGGCTGTATTGGGTGATCTAGCCAAGGCAGTGCTGAAGAGCTAGCCTGGGTAGTGACCATGAGGGACAGCTGACAGGCTGACCAATCTAGATACTAGATACCAGGCCCAGAACCAAGGCTATGTGTTGGCCCAACCCAACATCCACCAAATCTATAAACTGTTGGAGCACGTGAAAGGAGCAAACCTACAGATCCAAAATGGCAAGATCTGCATGACACGTGACAACAAGATATCCAAGAGGAATCCCAGTAGAAGCCTATTATCAGTGGTGTAGCAAAAACCAGAGGCCTCGAGCAAAACCAAGACTCGAGGCAATGAACACTTGCAAGTAAAGATGAATGGACTTGTAAGTAAAGATGAATGAATGAAGTAAAGGGTAAACTAAGTGACTCAACAGGCCACATTACAGCTTCCAGGACAAGATCCTCCTACTTTTGTTTTGTTGTTTGTTTGTTTGTTTGGGGTTTTGGTTTTTCTTTTAAAGTTGGTTTTGGCTTTGATTGGGGGTGGGGTTGCAAGGGCAGAGGGCAGATTACGGGGAACAGGGAGGTAAGTGGCATCAAAATGCATGATGTGAAATCCCCAAAAATCAATAAAAGTTGAAAAAAGATAAGGTAAGGCAATTCTTTATTCCAGCAAGAATGTTATCTAGGAGAAGAAAAGGATTAATAACATTACTATATGTGACAGGTCTATTGTAGTTACAATACTTGATATAGTAATCTATCTTTTAAATAACATTTTATTTTATTTTGATTTATTTATGACTTGTAACAAAGTTGTAATAAGATTTTAATGAAGGAAAGAAGTTGTGGCAAACAATAAATGATTGTTATTATTGTGGTGTTTCTATTATTTCTAGAACACTCAAGAAATCTCTTCAGAACCCAGTTTTTGCCCTTGTGCTTCAAAATGTGTTCAGTGCACGTGAAGGTTTACTTACAGCAAATATATCCAAGGTCTCATCACCTAGCAGAAGAATCAGACCTCTGGAAGCATCAATTGTCCATCTTCTTTTCCACCTCCTTCCCCAACTTCCTGCATCTGTAACTGTCACCCTAAATTTGGTGCCATCAATCCTTTGGACTTCTTTATAATATTACTATATATATGAATATCCCTAAAATATGTACTGCTTAGCTTTATATGTTTTAAATTTTTATGGAGATGAGATGCATTCACCTATAGCTCACATTCTTGGGAATCATTCATGTGAGTTAAGGTGTTTAGCAGAGAAGATGCCAAGAAACTCAGTAGGAGAGATACTTAAGAAAAGCCCAGGAGACAGTAGTCAAGAGTAGGCAGTGAGGGACTTGCCTTTCATATTTTATGTCTTGAAGGATAACATCCCACCCTTGGAATTCATTGTATTCT